GATTTATATAAATTAGCATGACATGATGACATAGAAAGTATTAAAAAACCAAAATATTGCCGAGTCAACAAACAATCGTTTAGTCAACAAACCAAGTAGAATCCCAATTCTCGATAACTGCCAGACAATTGCAGAATCACTAGGAAGCAAGTACTCTGATGCGCAGTTTAGCAAAACTTAGCTATATAATCACAATCACTACACATATTTGATCAAAATAATATCTTGATTATTTAATATCGACACAAAATCACTTAATAATGTACGCAAGTGTGAATACTATGCCTCCAAAAATATTCACACAATATTCAAACGTATTCTAGGTGAGAATATGAGGTGCGTTTTATTCTAAGGTATTCACATCTGAATACTACTAATATTCCGAGGATATTCGCAGTGAATATCAGTGAATACGTGTGAATATTCATCATATTCAAATTGATATTCACACGTATTCACATCTGAATACTTGGCTTTTCATGCAGTGTCATGTTCGGAAAATACAATGGTTTTGTCAGCAAGGCGAGGGTTTCTGCATGCATGTATTTTCTAGTCTAATTGTTAATTAATTTATTACATGGACAATAATGGTGTTTTACTGGAAACTAAAACACTCGTAAAACTCGTATGCCACAGCATCCGGGACCAGCTGCGCGTATTTTCCGCCATACGAAGTTGTTGTTGTTGTTGTTGTTCTTTTGAAAATATAAATGGTCTTTGGCTCGTACTCGTAGGCTATATAAAAGGATAATAATATAGTCATGCTTTAGTAAGTCTGTATAGTATAGAGGTTATTTAGTTTTATAGTTTCAGATTCATTCCGCATGATAGAAATCTTTGCATTACGCTGTATAATATAGAATAATCTGATTAACGGACACAGGCGACAAAAATAAAAATTAAATAACAAACTTTTCCTACAGTCAATCACTTGAAAGAAACAGCCGTAAACAACCTAATTAGAACAAAATCTTTGTATACTGTTTGTAAACTTGAGTTGTTGCACCAAAGTTGCATTCAAAACCACAGTGTATTTGCGTTGGGACTAATTCATTATTCCTGTCAAATGCTTAAAATTTCCAACTTCAAAGTAGAATAATCCAGGGGATATAGAAGATATAAGAAGATTTTCCTCAAAAGATAATCTTCTTATATAATATGTATAGGGAATTACACGGTTCGAAAAGTATCAATTAAAAATCGCACTCCTGTTTGGCGAAATATTTATAATAACAATTAATAGATATATGTTATTTACCGGATTCGGTGGAGGTCCGTATAGAGAAATATTTCTCGAGGTCTTAAAAACGGCCCGACGCCGAAGGCCGAGGGACGTTTTTAAGACCGAGAGAAATATTTCGCTATACGGACCGACCATACCGGTAAATAATACTTTTATTTTTTTTAATTCCTCTGGAATTCCCCAATCACCCCTCCCGCACGCGAATGAAGCTGCCAAATAAAACGTCGTTTCTATCAATGCTATCGGGAAGAGTAATATCTTTTGTAAGGTAGTAAAATTCGCTTTCACTGTGTTCTTCATCGTCTGCAGACATTTTAATGTTTTAAAAAGTAGCCTTTAAACTTGTTTTTAAATTTTGAAAAGTAAAAACATTGGCTCTACGGCTTTAAATCTCGTGCGGTCCGTACGGGCTCATACGGACCGCTCACGCAGCCAATCAGATTGCAGAAAAGCGTAAAGTATTACTTCGGACCGCAAGAAAAAATAGTAATAATTATTATTATATTTATCCAAGATACCCAAGTCACGTGTTTTTCAGTTAGGTCCTGCATCAAAACTGCAATTATTTATAAGACTAATTGTCAATATATAAAATGTATAAAAATATACGAATATATACATGCACGGTACAACAACGATAAAACGAACGATTAATTTATAGTTTATCAGATTATTAATTTAGTCAGTAAGTATGGAACATGCCTCGAATGATTAAGAAAGAATCGACTATTTATATTATGTATCATAAATATTTCGGCAAACACAAGTGTGATTTTTCATTAATACCTCGAGAACAAGTATACTTTCCCTTTAATATCATTTTAACTTAGATTAAACGAGACTTACCTGTAAGTTGAAGTTTGAGCATGATTCTATGAGTTACTGGTGGGAGTTCGGAGTCACATGAGATAGCACGCACCTGCTCACATCAGTCTTTAAAGCTGACGAAATGGCCACACATGAATAAGGGTGGGCCTATACCCTCTTGGTCTAATAAACATGATAGACATTTAGTACACTATTCCATATTTGAGTTGGGCATGTGACTCCGCACTCCCACCAGTAACTCATAGAATACAAGTTAGTCTCGTTCAATCTAAATTCTATTTCGTCACTGGTGAGGTCGTGACGGAATCACACGCAATACCAGCCATGTCTAAGACTGACTTCAGCCATCTTAAGATTGTGTCGCGAGAAACCGCTTTAAAGGGCTTTTGGACGTTCAAAAACAATTGCGAAGTCCAAAACGATGAGGTTTAGTTCTCGTGAAATAGGCATTTAGGCAGTTTATCACACACAACTTCGGATCTTGTGGATAGGCCAAAATTTCAATGTGGGTTAAGTATCTATTGGATGCAGATGTTTTTAACAAACTTGTCAACAGAAAAACACATCTTGATTCCCCCAGAACCATGTCCTCAATGTTTAGAGAATGTAAAGTTTGACATCGTTGTCCCGACAACAGTCCAAGTAACATGACTAACTTTAATGGTAACAATTTTAAAGTAAGTTCCGTATTCGGACCAAGATTCTTTAAACATTTAAGCACAATTTCAACGTCCCAAATGCAGGTATAACGAGGAAGAGCTGGTTTAGTTTCAAATACACCTTTCAACAGCTTTTTGACATAAGGATGTTGTCCAAAAACAGTTCCATTAGGTAATACCAGCACCGCTGATAGGGCACTCCAAGCGGTATTAACTACACTATAACCAAGACCGCGATCTGCCAGTCGTGCTAAAAATTCTAATAAGGCACTTTCGAGAGGAGGTGAAATTGGATTAATCCCTCGGGTATCACAGAAAACCTCCCATTGACTGAGGTAAGTGCTATACTGCTTTTGCATGTTCTCCATGACTTGTGGATATACTTGGAAACTGACTCTGGAATACCTTCGTCTTTGAGACATCTCCTGACAAATAACATGCCAACAGCCACATTGTTTTGTGAAGTTGATGTATCTTCGCTGGGTTGTAAGGGAGATGAAGCAACTTTTCTTGTGGGGGTATCAACAGTGAATAATTGATCAACATTCGCATTAATTTGGGATACTAAATTTGGGTTGGCCAATCGAGAACAATCAATAAACCGGTTACCTGTTGGCTCTGGATTTTTTGAAGTACTTGAATGATTAAACTAAAAGGTGGAAAGGCATAGAATACATCATAGTCTTTCCAATTAATTAAGAAGGCATCTACAGCAACCGCCTGAGGGTCTGGTTGATATGAGACATATCTTTCAACTTGGTGGTTAAGCCGCGAGGCAAATAAGTCAATATCTGGGTTAAGTGCAGAATCTCAAGTACTCTATTGAAGATTGGGCGGTTAAGCATCCACTCAGTTTCATCCCGTAATTTACGTGGCTCTTTGTCAGCACCGACGTTTTCAACGCCGGGTATATGGGCAGTTGATATCCAAATATGCCTAGCAATGCACCATCCCCAAATGGTCTTAGTAGTTCTATTGCATAAACCAGCATGGCTAGTACCTATATGTGTAATAAAAGCTACAACTGTGGTATTATCAATAAGGGCCCTTACATGTTTATGCTCCAAATGGCCCTGAAAGGATTGCAATACATATATAGAGAACAGCAAGCAATTCTAAATAATTTATATGAAAAGTCTGTTCTACTAGAGACCAGTGACCTCCACAAGTGAGATCATTCAAAACATCCCCCCAAACCTGACAAAGGGGCATCTGGTGATCCATGACTGACCTCATTGTAGGCAGTAGGGAGTGATGCTATCCACCAGTAAAGGTCTTCAATAGCACTCGGTGATAACCTCATAACTATAGAAATTGCCTCTACATAATTTATGGGCTATGATCTTATCATGTTCCAAAGCCGGATAATACAAAGGGCCAAACATAACTCCAGGAAAACTGGATACCAGGAACCCAATTACACGAGAAACCTCACGAACAGAAACCCTATTGCTTTTGTTTAAAAGTAAGGTACATGCACTTATAATTTTTTCTACTTTCTGTAATGTTATAGAGTTATTCTCATAAGAATAGAGTTGAGTAGGAACCCCAAATCTCTAAAATTATTTTTTGGTTCAAACACAGATTTATCTGGGTGTATAACCAACCCCAGTGTGGAGAACAGGTCAACTGTATCCACCACATTACAGGCAACAATCATCATATGTATCGCCCTGCAAATAGGCATCATCGATATAGCCTGAAGAAACATGACCTCTTTTCCGCAAAACTGTATAAAACGGTTTAAGTAGCTTTGTAAACTTTCGGGGGACAGCTAGAAAGGCCATTGGGAAGGCACGTGCATTGGCATAATTGTCCCTGCCAAATAAATTTCAATAATTTCTGACTGGATTGTGATACCGGTACTGAGTAATGGGCATCTTTTCGGTCTACAGATGCCATAACGCAGTTTGGTGTCATTAATTTAATGACTGACCACAAGGTATCCATTTTGAAATTATGATATTTCACATAAGTGTTAAGACCCTTTAAATTTAAAATCATGCGATGAGTGCCATCTTTTTTGGGGCACACCAAAATTGGTGATATAACCTCGCCCTTTTCATGGCATGATGGCACGATTACGCTTTTAGTAATAAGCTTAGATATTTCAAGCTCAATAACCTCTTTTCGAACGAACTAAATTCATATTTTGACTGATTAGTATGAGGAGGGGGTCCCTCTATTAATTCAATGGTATAACCATTGGCCATATCTAAAATTTCTTGGTCAGATGTAATCTTTCTCCATTCGCCAATGCACTGAGAAATTCTCACAGCTTCAAAACAATTAACTTTTTGATGTAAGTCCTTTATTAAAGTAGCAACATATTGTTTATGAAAACTTACCATAACAACTGAGTTTGGTCCATTTCGTTCATCTCTTGATCTTACTGGCGTTGCTTTTGTGAGAATGATTTGGGAAACCATGGCTTGTTGTTCTGCCATGGTTTCCTTTTGGATAAAAAAGGCCTCCGTGGAGACTCGCTGAAGGGGCGTGATGGCTGCATAGCGGGTCGCCTTCTGTCAAAATTATCCCGACCTTTATTGGCCAAGGCCGACTGGCGAAGTTTATTTGTGGTCTTAATATTATTGCACTCAATTTGCAAATCGTCACCAAATAGGTTTGCAGTGACTGGTGGTACCTGCTCTGAACATAGAGCAGCAAACTCTTTATTAAGATTTGGTTTGATAGCTTCTCTGCGATGATGGGACAAATCAACTAAGGCATGTCCCAGAATTGCCATAATTTCCATATTTGATTTGATAAATTCGGTGGAGTCCACCTGATTGCCATTTTGCCGTGAGTGAAGGAGCTTATTGGTGGTATAAATTAAAGAGCTCCCTGCTTTTGCCAGGTTCTTCTGAACATTACTAGTTCGCAGATCCCTGCGCTTATTAAACTTGTCAAGGTTTGACCAAATTTCTGAATTAACTCAAGGCACAATCAGACCTGAGCAATTTTCAGGACGTTGAATTAACTCCAGTTTGTCGGATAGGTTTTTATCACTGACATTTTTGTAGCCCATCGCTTGTTAAGTGTGGCTGCCAAATCTTCATTCACTGCAGGACCCGTACGTAGGTTCTTGTTCGGATAAATCTTGGGCAATATTTGACAGCAAGTTGTCCGTATCTCCAGGTATATTCTCTGCTGGTTTTTCAGCTGGGTCAGCTGGGTTTGACAACACTTTGTTTATTAAAACCGATTCGTCGTCCTCATCCTCACTAAGCTTCCGCTTGCGGCCGCCATGTTTTGGCGCCAATTCCGTGTCATGAACAACCTCGTTGTTGTCCTCGATGTAGTCCTTGCTTTGGCCTTGCTCTATTCGATCAAGACGAGATTGAAAACTCCGCATATCGGTGTGCATCTCTTGCCTAACAAAGGAGGACCTGCAGATATAAGCATTGCCCAAATTTTGCATCTTTCCAACTTTTTTGAATTGTTACGTGGATCGAGTTTATATTCATTTACAAGCATAGCGAACCAGAAAAGTGTTAGATATTCAGTTAGTATATCATATTTTATAAATATAGCAGTTGAAAATATAAACAAAGCGTTTGTTTATATTACGGAGTTTACAGCATCTTTAAACCTAATAAAACACTCCTGCTCATTTATAAAATAGTACATAATGTCAAGCAAATATTTTTTCTCCTATTTAAATAGCTCGTATCTTGAGTTTATAAGATGGCATTATTATTCGGAACACGGTCTGCGCTTGAGGCAACGAGCCGCCAACTTGTTGCATTTATTTGGCAAAAACTTCACCAGTTTCGATGAGGATATAAACAAATTATCAAATTGAATTATCTGGATTACAACAAAACATGTATTTAAATGTAAAATTCAATGTACTGTATAATACTACAACTTAATATTAGATATTTTGTTCTCTATATTGAGTCGTAGCGGGTAATTAAACATTTAAAACAGCCCAACAGCAGACGAATCGGTTTGTGACCACAGTCATGGCTGGGAAACGGTTGTTGTGAGTCAGGATCAGTTTCAATCGTTGAGGTAGTCATTTGAAATCTTTCCTAAATTAGAACTGAGGAGTGCGCCATTTCAGAGACTCTTGATTTCAAAATATTGCTGAAGGAGCTTGCCCTAGCTGAACCCCAAGAATCTTTGTAGTCAAAAGCAGTCAAGGAGAATCGACAGATCTGACAAATTTTATTGCAGAACTGTAGATTTTTCATAATCTCCGCCGTATATGCAATATTAACCAAGGTTTGTAAATGTTCAGGGCCGTAGCGAAAAGGATAACAAAGGGGAGAGATAGCTAAAAAAAATTTTGCGGACGTAAAAATTATTCCGGACATACAAAAATGTTTTGCGGATATACCAAAAATTTATCCCGACTTCCCAAAAATGTTCCGGACATATCAAAATTTGTTAACTTTCCACGTAATTTTTGTGAATTGAGCTAAATTTTTGCTAATTAATAGTATTACCTTTTCATCCGAACCACTCTAATACATTCGCTGCTAACCGAAACGATTTGCCAATAAAACCGTTATTTTGTCGAAAAGACGTTTTCAGGGGGTGTTACTCCCCCCCCACCCCCCACCCCCACCCCACACACACACCCCTCCCCCCTACATAGTGACTCAGTAAAACTATACCTCCCCCCCAATTAAAGGAGACCTAGAGTCGCCCTTGATTCGGAGCATTTTTTTATAAAATAGGTACAGCGCTTATAGTATAAAAAGAATAATGTTTAACTTGACGAAATTCACGACGTTTATTATACAATGACTTTTATACATAAAATTTTTATTTAATTTTTAAATATAATTTTAGTTATGCTAAAAAGTTTCTTGCTTAATGGTTAGAAACTTCAGTATAGTTTGTTATTCATCTAGCCTAAGAATAAACGTTCTCCTGAGCAGAAGACAATTACTGAAGTTACTCTACAACGCAACTAAATAATATAGTGGTATGTTATATATACATGACAAATTTTTAAGCTCGGCGCGGCTTACCACGGGCAAATTACCAGTTACCTAATAACTGAGTCTATGCATACAGCATGTGTTGACTAAATTACACTATTGGCACTTCATAAGAATTAGAAAAAGATACTAATAAAGTATCAATTAGAACATGTTATGGCTGTATGCACCTCAGGGGTAATCAATCTAGCTACATATAAATGAGTAGTATATAATGTATATAGAGCTAGCTCACAACGACGAATGAGCAACGTCTGATAGGGTCCAGTGACGGATGATTCATGATTGGGGTGGGAGTATTTATATTACTGCTCAAACATTCAAACATGAAACATTTCGGTTGCTAATTAATCTCTCCCCCCCAAAAAAAAAAGTTGTTGGCAAGCGGGCGTGGGGGAGGGGGAGGGAAGAGAGAAGTAAAAACATTTCCGGACATACCATTTTTCAGTAATTAAATTCGAATTAATGTATCGTAATATTTTCGTAAATTTAGAGTTTTAAAATATAAATTGTAATATCAAAATTAAACTCAATATTTTTTATCTTTTCCAATGTTTTAATTTTAGGGACCCATGATGGCAGGGGCCCACAACGAGTTCTCGTTAGCTCGTCCCTAGCCAGCACGTCCCTGGCTCGCAAAAAAAGCGAACATCGGCGAATACTGCATGTGTGAAAAAGGTTTATTAATTAACTAAGTCAGCCAAAGATCTTACACTTTCTTAAAATAACTTCCCGTTATATCGGCTAAAAGTTTATTCAAATTCTCTATTCCGTTTTTTTGCAATATTCTTTGTTCGCAGTGAGGTAATTTTGGGATTTCAGTTGACGGACAGATGGAACAACAAACGGCATTTTAATGTATTGATAGAGTTTAGAGACAGGTTATTAAGACTAAAAGATGAATTACCGTTCATTTGTTCTTGCTACAACCACTCTATTTTTGTAGGAGGAAAATTGTCCGCAAGTTGTTTGATTGCCCGTCATTAGTTAGATGAAAAGTAACGTGATTGCAAGCAAAAAATTGAGTAATAGTCTGAAATATGAGATGGACATCAGAAAATGGATGTGCTCAGTGTGTGGAACGTAATCACGAAAAGAAATCACGCAACAGGTAGAATCAACGCAGTAAGGCAGGTATGTCATATTTAATATTATATCATAGTTTGTTTTGGATTATCTCGGCTATTTTGTATTGTTCGTGCCTTATTTGCCTCGTTTTCATTTCAGCAAAGTACCATTTAAAACACAAGCAGAAATGCATTTAACAGTTATGAAACAAGAGGCGACAGCTGGGAGTTTTATATCTGATAAAGCACGGCTGCGACTTAGAAAACGACCCCGCCATCTAATGATTTTATTGGCGAAGTAAATTTAAAAATCAACTGCGTTGTCTAAGCCGAGGAAATCAAAGTATCTATAAAAAATATCTATAAATGTTGATACATAACTTTAGCATAACAGTTTTGAATCAGTTTTTTATACTGATTTTCGCAAGAAGTGCAAAATAGTTCATTTCTATTCTCCCCGTTTCAAATTTACTGTATTTTCTGTTTTCAATAATCACAAAAAAAAATCACAAATATTATGGAAGTCAGCAGGTGAAAATGAACAAAAACGTCAATGCACGCGCGTGGATAGTACAAACAGAAAGTATACAAAATATTATGTCCACCCGTGGGAATAATACTGTGGGAAAATTTAAATCCTGATTTCTCTGACGATTTCTCTAAAATTAACCGTATTTTTCTTGCGTTTCCTTCCATGAAAACTTTTTAAAATATACTGTGCAGCATCAATCATAAAATGCGTAAAATATGAAAGTTTTAAACAAAACGTTGGAACTGATTTTTTTCTCTTTTAAAAACACGATTATACGAGAATTAATTCAGTAATTTGACGATTTCTACAGTTTATTTAATATACATTACCTTGATATGTGCATACAATAGAAAAGTTTGGTCGAAGGAAATTAAAATACGGTCTTTTTGAAATTACCTTGTTACCATGATAACAAGGATATTTGACGACATTTTTCGTTTTTCGTAATCCGCAGTATTTAGGCTATCTTCTGTGCACTAAGTTTCGCAAACTTATCTTGCAAAGAGAGGAAATAATTGGCTGTATTTCTGCGCTATAATGTAAAAACTGTACGGAGCGTCCTGAAGCGCACAATCTGGTATTCTCAAATTAATTTAATTTAATGAAATATTGTTTTTTCTTGTTCTCACGGATGTAACTCTATTTCGTTTGGTGGTTGACGTCGAATTCTTGAACTTGTTCGGCACATCATTCGGCGAAACAGATTTTTGAAAGCCTGTCTGTAGGTTTGGTCGAGACAGGCATAAATTATTGGTTTGCACAGACTGTTAATATAAGGAAGTATGTTTATTACGAATTCAGCTATGAACGTCAAACACCTGCTACCCCAATCAATAAGAAATTGATTTTGTAACGCATACAATTATGTATAAATGAAGTAAGGACCCCAACAAAGTATAAACACTCCGACAACAATAAATAACATTCGGATAACCTTCAGATCTTGAATAAAGGCACGTCGTTGGTTTTGATCAATGCAGGTTTGACCCAGTTCACCATCTCGCATCATCTTTCGTCGTTTACGAACAACAACATAAATGAGAGAATACATAACCAGCATAGGTAGAAAAAACACACCTACTGCCAGAATAGTAAAGAATGCTTTACTTTTATTCCAATAATACCAATAGGTGGGACATGGACTAAATATCATCCAGATGCCAATGCCTCCTGAACATGGAGTGGTGCTGTAGGTGGCAAAAGCAGCAGAAATGAACCAAATGATAAAGATGATTTTCCATGATTTGGAAGTTGTCATTATGGATCTGTACTGAAGGGGCTTCCTCATTTTTAGATATCGGTCGAAACTGATGAATGTCAGTGAAGAAATAGAGGCTGTTAACGCGAATGTATCTATCCACGCCATAAAACGACATAGAAGGAAGGATATTGTCCATCTCGATTTATCATCGAGAGTGAGTTGAAACACCTCCAGTGGGGCTACGAACATACCAACCAAAAGATCAGCTACAGCCAGACAAGCAATAAAATATTTATTTGGTTGATGAAGACTCCTTTCTCTCCATGTAGCAGCCAGAACCATGGTATTGTCAAAAATGGTAAAAATGGCGACAAAAGTAAGTATAATTTCCCTTGCTAATTCAATCTGGTTCTCATATTCCATTGGTTTGATGTCGTGACTCACATTCATATGCATCATCATCGTGAAACTTGACCCTGGGTAATAAATAAAAATACCTCATTAGTTGCGAGACAAATTTAAACAAGGTCAGCTTGGGAAATAAAGAAAGAACAGATAACTATTATTAATATACATTGTAGCTAGTCACTATACGCGTGTCTTCTGATTGGCCAGTAGTTTACAGCTAGTAAGTAACTGCATAACAGCTATCTGGCTACCACATAACTGAGTTTCATGTTGGTTCAGCCAGCGGTATGTAATTTTATGGCAAACGGCAGTTTTAAGTTCACGAATAAAAACAAAAAAAACAATATGAACGAACGGCGATATTTTAATTTTGACAATTTTATTGGAACTTTATATAGTAGGTTAATGAGGTTTCTAATATTTTTATGTTGTTATTATGATATTTTAAATCGTTTTCACTGTTTTTTGAGAACCAAACGTTAATTTGTTCGACAAATCATTGCGTGTCGAAAGAGTTAGTAATTAAAATGCAATGTATATAATAAAACAGTTATTGAATTTGGTTTTGTGAATCCCAAATCATCAAGGTCTCCGAACGTGATGTCAATCTCGCCTCAACTGATAGCACTTATCTCAACATTTATTATTCTGAATATCACAAAAATTTCATCCAGTAACGGTTTATTATTATTTACCTAAAAAATTCATGGGTTTCTGACTGGCTAACATGCAGCCAACTGTGAAATCGTGATATCAACCCAATAGCCGACGAAATATGGATTTTAAGCATAACGTTTTACGTATTGACGTCATAACATTGGATATGAAAACATCATATTCATGGGGGTGACATGTCATATCTGTTATGACGTCATGTTGTGGAAATACGAAACGAAATGTGGAAAAACGACCAAATCAATATGACGCAACCTTCGGGTATTTTTACAGGTTTAAAGGAAGCAACTTTTAATTTACAGTCAAGAAATATCCATTTTTGTTACATGATGCCATGAGTTTACGTAATACATATTGTGAGCAATGCACAATAACATGTAACTTCCTTTACAAAACATACTGATTACTGTACACGGCCGTTTACACTTGCGACCTTTGCTGCGATTTTAGGTGCGATTTTCCAGCTGACGTGCATAATGGCAACATAAAATCGCCAGCGTATAAACACCCTGCCATTTAACTGCAATTTCAGTGCAACATCGCTGCGACAAACTGCAAATATTTAAATCGTGTTCGAAATTCATCGCGTCTTACTGCAATTTTTCAAAAAGATGTGAACGAAATACGACCGTGCTGCTCTCCAGCGGCAGCGGCTAGCACCTTCAATTGTCTTCAATGAAGGACATCAACTTTATATAAATATTTAAAAATTTTCACTTTTACAATGTTTTAGTAAAAACCATATCGCTCAAGCCAGTATAAGTCTGCTATAAATGCATTTAACTGACAATAACATTAAAAACTTTTTGATCGGTTCTGAACAAATTTTATTCAAACAAACTACCAAAACTGGTACATACAGAACATAACACGTATTAGATTGACAAATGCACCAGATTAAACTATAGTTATAAATGATAAAAATATATCAGAACATCGAAGCAATCCTTGGCCACCGATGTTCTCCGATTTACCTTTCATTGCATATAATAATATACTTAAACAAGTCACGATTTTTTTTACTTTAAAAGAACGAAACGAATAATTTATTTGGTTAAGTTTATGGGTAAAACCTGCTCTAATACTACTTTTTGCAAAAAGAAATTTAGTACTTGAGTGTTTTCGATAAGGTATCAAAAAATGGCGCAATTAATAACAATATAAACACAAAGTATACGGTAGAATACTAACAGCGTTCACTTTGATCTTTGTCTTTGTGCCAACTTCAAAACAAAAACTGTTGTTTCTATTCGTTTGCGTGCGAGTGGCAATTAGACACAGTTCTTATAATCATGCTTTATTAAATGTAGAGGTTAATTAATTTAGTTTTTAGTTTCAGCCTTCAGGCTCATTCTGCCGATAATAGAAATCTTGGTTTTACGCTGCATATATATAAGATAAACATGATTAAGCGAAACAGGCGACGAGAATGGAAATTAAATAAAACATTTTCTTACTGACTTACATTCACTTGAAAGAAACAGCCGTAAACAACCTAATTAGAATAAAATCTTTGTACTGCTTGTAAACTTGAGTTGTTGCTCCAAAGTTGCAGTCAAAATCGCAGTGTGTTTACATTGGGACTATAATTCATTCTATATAGCCTATGTGTCAAATGCTTAAAATGTACAACTCCAAAGTACCGAGAATAATAAAGGAGAATAATATGAGAAGATATAAGAAGATTTTTTCCAAAATATAATCTTCTTAATATCTAAATGTATATGGAATCACACGATTCGAGAAGTATTAATTAAAAATCGCATGGCATGTTTGGGCAAAATATTTATAATCACAAAAATAATAACATTGATTCAGGATGCCCACATCGCGTACTTGTTTTTCAGTGTGTTTTATGGACCCGAGACTGCCGTTGTTGCCCAAAGCGAAACCAAGGGCAACAACGGCGGACGTGCATGGGGCCACAAAACACACAGCTTTTCCGATGTCTCAGTAAATAAGTGTTTTGTTATGTAGTATACAAGTGTCAAAGTATGAATACTTCACCGGTTATTGGAGTGAACTTAATTTGAAACCAAAACTGGATAAATGGAACGCTGTCAATGTTTAATAAAAGGTTTAAAAAAAATAAACTTTGGAACTTAATGGTTGACCCGCATGCGCATTGCACCCATTCTATTGTTGCCCGGTCAATAAATGTTTCATTGTTGACAGGTTGCCTCCTCGCCAAAGCATGCAGTGAATATTACGTTTTGTGGACCGGCACGTGATACGGTTTTGACCAATCAGCAAACCGAGAAAATTTGAACTTTTACACTAACTATATTGTAAAAATATTTTTATTATATGGACAATGGCGTTTTACTGGAAACTAAAAACATCCGGGACCAGATGAGCTTATTTTCCGTCATACGAAGTAGTTGTTGTTGTTTTGAAAATATAAATGGTCTTTGGCTCGTAGGCTATATAAAACGAAATTATTAAACAGAGTTCTTATAATCATGGTTTAGTAAGTCTATAGAGGTTATTTGGTTGTATAATTTCAGATTCATTCTACATGGTGGAAATCTTGGCTTTACGCTGTATAATATAGAATAATCCGATTAACGGAAACAGGCGACGAAAGTAAAAATTAAATAACAAATTTTTCCTACAGTCAATCACTTGAAAGAAACAGCCGTAAACAACCTAATTAGAACAAAATCTTTGTGCTGCTTGTAAACTTGAGTTGTTGCACCAAAGTTGCAGTCAAAATCGCAGTGTATTTGCATTGGGACTAATTCATTATTCCTGCATGTCAAATGCGTAAAATTTACAACTTTCAAGTAGAATAATTCTGGAGAATATAAAGAAGATATAAGAAGATTTTTGTCAAAAAATAATCTTCTTATGCAATATGTATAGGGACTTATCGAGAAGTATCAATTAAAAATCGCACGCCTGTTTGGCAGAATATTTATACTAACAATAATAGTAATGATTATTATTATATTTATCCAGGATATCCAAGTCACGTAAGTGCATGTTTTTCAGTTGGGTGCTACATCAAAATTACAATTAATGATTTATTGATAAGATTAAATTAATTGTCAATATATTAACTGTATATAAAAATATACAAATTATACATACACGCGGTACAACAACGATAAAACGAACAATTAATTTATAATTTATCAGATTATTAATTTAGTCAGTAAGTATGCATGGAACATGCCTCGAATGATTTTAACCAACTGAAAAACACGTGATTTGGGTATCCTAGATTAAATATAACAATAATCATTACTATTATTGTTAATATAAATATTTTGCCAAACAGGCGTGCGAGTTTTAATTGATACTTCTCGTACCGTTTAATTCCCTTTACATATTGCATAAGAAGATTATTTTTTGACGAAAATCTTCTTATATCTTTTTTATTATTCTCCAGAATTATTCTACTTGAAAGTTGTAAATTTTACGCATTTGACGTGAATAATGAATTAGTTCCAATGCTTAAAAGAAAGAATCGATCTATTGATATTATATGTATTCGATCTATTGATGTTATTAGATTGATCTATTGATATTATATGTATCATAAATATTTCGGCAAACACAAGTGTGATTTTTCATTAATACCTCGAGAACAAGAGTACTTTCCTATTAATATCATTTAAGTCAATTTTACACGAGTAGTATATACAGTACTCAAAGACTAGAAATATTGTAATTTATATATATATATATATATAGAGAGAGAGAGAGAGAGAGAGAGAGAGAGAGAGAGAGAGAGAGAGAGAGAGAGAGAGAGAGAGAGAGAG